GGAGGCGGGGTTTTGTGGGGTGTGGAGGCGGGGTTTTGTGGGGTGTGGACGTGGGGGGTTGTGGGGTGTGGAGGCGGGTTTTGTGGGGTGTAGAGGTGGGGGGTTGTGGGGTGTGCAGGTGGGGGTTTGTGGGGTGTGCAGGCGGGTTTTTTGGGGTGTACAGGTGGGGGTTGTGGGGTGTACAGGTCGGGGATCTGTGGGGTGTGGAGGCGGGGGTTTGTGGGTGTGGGGGTTTGTGGAGGTGTGGGGGTTTGTGGGTGTGGAGGTGGGGGTTTTGTGGGGGTGGAGGGTTGTGGGGTGTGGAGGTGGGGGTTTGTGGGGTGTGCGGGTGGGGTTTGTGGGGTGTGCGGGTGGGGGTTTGTGGGGTGTGCGGGCGGGGGTTTTGGGGTGTGCGGGCGGGGTTTGTGGGGTGTGCGGTCGGGGGTTTGTGGAGGTGTGCGGGTGGGGTTTGTGGGGTGTGCGGGCGGGGGTTTGTTTGGTGTGGGGGCGGGGGTTTTGTGGGGTGTGCAGGTGGGGGGTTGTGGGGTGTGGAGGCGGGGTTTTGTGGGGTGTGGAGGCGGGGTTTTGTGGGGTGTGGAGGCGGGTTTTGTGGGGTGTGGACGGGGGGGTTGTGGGTGTGGAGGCGGGGTTTTGTGGGGTGTGCAGGCGGGGTTTTTGGGGTGTACAGGTGGGGGTTGTGGGGTGTACAGGTCGGGGATCTGTGGGGTGTGGAGGCGGGGTTTGTGGGGTGTGGGGGTTTGTGGGGTGTGGAGGTGTGGGGGGGTGTGGGGGTTTGTGGGGTGTGGAGGTGGGGGTTTTGTGGGGGTGGAGGGTTGTGGGGTGTGGAGGTGGGGGTTTGTGGGGGTGGAGGGTTGTGGGGTGTGGAGGTGGGGGTTTGTGGGGTGTGCAGGTGGGGGTTTGTGGGGTTGCGGGTGGGGGTTTGTGGGGTGTGCGGGGGGGTTTGTGGGGTGTGCGGGTGGGGGTTTGTGGGGTGTGCGGTCGGGGGTTTGTGGGGTGTGCAGGTGGGGGGTTGTGGGGTGTTGAGGCGGGGGTTTGTGGGGTGTGCAGGCGGGGGTTTGTGGGTGTGGAAGCAGGGGTTTGTGGGGTGTGGAAGCAGGGGTTTGTAGGGTGTGGAAGCAGGGGTTTGTGGGGTGTGGAGACGGGGGATTGTCGGGTGTGCAGGTGGGGGGTTTGTTGGGTGTGGAAGCAGGGTTTGTGGAGATGGGGGTTTGTGGGGTGTGGAGGCGAGGGTTGTGGAGGCGGGGGTTTGTGGGGTGTGGAGGCTGGGGTTTGTGGGGTGTGCAGGTACGGGTTTGTGGGGTGTGCAAGTGGGGGTTTGTGGGGTGTGGAAGCAGGGGTTTGTGGGGTGTGGAAGCAGGGGTTTGTAGGGTGTGGAAGCAGGGGTTTGTGGGTGTGGAGACGGGGGATTGTCGGGTGTGCAGGTGGGGGGTTTGTTGGTGTGGAAGCAGGGTTGTGGAGATGGGGGTTTGTGGGGTGTGCAGGTGGGGGTTTGTGGGGTGTATAAGCAGGGGTTTGTGGGGTGTGGAGGTGGGGGTTTGTGGGGTGTGGAGGTGGGGGTTTGTGGGGTGTGGAGGCGAGGGTTTGTGGAGGCGGGGTTTGTGGGGTGTGGAATTGGGGGTTTGTGGGGTGTGGAGGTGGGGGTTTGTGGGGTGTGGAGGTGGGGGTTTGTGGGGTGTGGAGGTGGGAGTTTGTGGGGTGTGGAGGCAGGGGGTTGTGGGGTGTGGAGGCAGGGGGTTGTGGGGTGTGGAAGCAGGGGTTTGTGGGGTGTGGAGGTGGGGGTTTGTGGGGTGTGGAGGAGGGGAGTTTGTGTGATGTGGAGGCAGGGGTTTGTGGGGTGTGGAGGCAGGGGGTTTATGGGGTGTGCATGTGGGAGTTGTGGGTGTGGAGGCAGGGGGGTTTGTGGTGTGTGTAGGCAGGGGGGGGGTTTGTGGGGCGAAACGACGACGTTTCGGTCCGTCTTGGACCATTGACAGAGTCACATTAACGAAAAGGAGAGGAGGGAGTATATATATATGCCAGCAGACAGGGACGGGACAGGAGGCAGTAGTGGAGGTGGTGGTAGTAGTGGAGTCAGTCAAATACAGTGGACCCTCAACTAACGCTATTAATCCGTTCCTGAGAGCTCATCGTTAGTCAAAATAATCGTTAGTCAAGTTAATTTTTCCCATAAGAAATAATGGAAATCAAATTAATCCGTGCAAGACACCCAAAAGTATTGAAAATTTTTTTTTTAACACATGAAATATTAATTTTAATACACACAAACTGAAGAAGACATGCACAGCTACATGACACTTACCTTTATTGAAGATCTGGTGATGATTGATGGGATGGGAAGAGGGGAGTGTGTTGATGGTCTTATGTTTTAGAAGAGGAATCCCCTTCCATTAGGACTTGAGGTGGCAAGTCCTTTTTCGGGGTTACTTCCCTTCTTCTTTTAATGCCACTAGGACCAGCTTGAGAGTCACTGGACCTCTGTCGCACAACATATCTGCCCATAGAGGCCTGTACCTCCCGTTCCTTTATGACATTCCTAAAGTGTTTCACAACATTGTCAGTGTCACCATTAAACACTTGCTCAGGTTTCAGTCCTTCACTGTCTATGTACTCCTTGAATTTCTGCACATATTTTTCAGCTGCTTTTGGTCCAAACTGGCGCCTCACCATGCCTTATCACACTATGTATGCCACTACGATTCTTAAATCTCTCAATCCAACCTTTTCTGGCCTTAAATTCACTCACATCACCACTAGTTGCTGGCATTTTTCTAATTAAATCGTCATGCAACTTCCTAGCCTTTTCACATATGATCGCTTGAGAGATGCTATCTCCTGCTATCTGTTTTTCGTTTATCCATACCAATAACAGTCTCTCAACATCTTCTATCACTTGCGATCTCACTTTCGAAAACATAGTTGCACCTTTGGCAAGAACAACTTCCTTGATTGCCGTTTTCTTGGCCACAATAGTAGCGATGGTTGATTGGGGTTTTGTGTACAGCCTGGCCAGCTCGGAGACATGCACTCCACTTTCATACTTAGCAATGATCTCTTTCTTCATATCCATAGTAATTCTCACCCTTTTTGCTGTAGGGTTGGCACTAGAAGCTTTCTTGGGGCCCATGGTGACTTATTTTGCAGGTGCAATCACTAAAAAGGCTGTGATAATATGAAATGTTCTGATTGTATGCTTGGAAGCGACCGCGGTGGCTCGCTGGCTTGTAAACACTGGCCAGAAGTGGACGCGTCTCAGACAGAAGGAATAGTGTTGGTCGATTTTTTTTAGCGCTAATCGAGGCAAAAATTTTGCAATAAAATGTATCGCTAGTCAGATTTATCGTTAATCGATGCCATCGCTGGTCGAGGGTCCACTGTACTAGGAAAGAGGAGCACTGCAAGGGATCTAGGTGCCACGGAGGGTAGGAGCAAGAACACAGAGGGGGGGGGAATAATGAAGGAACAAATACCCAAGGCAGAAGAAAGAAAACCCAAAGGAGAAAGAGGAAAAAGGAAAGGGGAAGAGGAAGAAGCAAAATGAATCAGGTTAGGACACTGGTGTTCTGAAGTTTGGAGCATTTTACAACGTAATGGGAGAGGACTAAGATTCACACAAGGATAGTTGAGTATTAGGGAGGATTCAACCAGACGGCGACTGTGAAAGTTGGACGTAGGGAAGACAGTTTTAGCAGAAGACTATCCAATAGGATGACTGTGATCTCTGACATGACAGAAAAGAGCATTGTTAGTGTCGGCAAGCATAAAACTACTTTTGTGCTCCCTAAGTCTGTCAGAAAGAATTCAGCCAGTTTCTCCAAAGTACTGAAGAGGACAGGAGGAACAAGACAGATTAGATACCAGGAGCACCTATACATGGAGGAGAGGTATGAACTAGATTAGTGCGAAGAGTGCTAGTCTGGCGGAAAGTAAGTTTGATGTCAAGGGAACGGAGAGAATTGTTGAGATTAGAAAGACAGGAAATGTAGGAAAGGCAGAGGACAGAAGAGTTCCCAGGAGTAGAGAGTTTGGGAGAGAAGAAATTCCGTTTAGCACGTGAAAAGGTAGTCTGTGAAATGGGAAGGGTAGCCAAGATGGGAAAATGTGCTTACCTTGTGTCTTAGGAAAGTAAGCAATGCTTACCTTGTGTCTTAGGAAAGTAAGCAATGCTTGCCTTGTGTCTCAGGAAAGTAAGCAATGCTTACCTTGTGTCTCAGAAAAGTAAGCAATGCCTACCTTGTGTCTCAGGAAAGTAAGCAATGCTTACCTTGTGTCTCAGAAACACAACATGTAGGCCACATCCTGCATCTCATGGGTGGTACAGTTGTAGCTTTCAGTTTCCTGTAAAAAAATACAAACCGTAATGGATATGTGGGTCATTGGGCCATCAGTAGCAACAGCCTTGTTGACCAGGCAAGCACCAGATGAGCCTGGCCCATGGCTGGGCTCTAGGAGTAGAAAAACTCTTGAAACTCATCAAAGGTATGTCACTGGTTTGTAATATAAATACCTTCCATTGGCTTTACTTTGTTTTTAAGCTAAACTTATTTTTCAGTTGTAATAAATGTCACTTTGATCAATTGATTTTTTATTAATGACAACATATCACCCACACAGTGGATACCTGTATTAATGATCATTTTGCTCACACTGGGGATTTATGTGAAGCCTCTGTGTGGGTGTAATATTGATGCTAATAATGGTATCCATTGCATCTCATTTATTCTGCCTTGTCGGTGTTTACATACCAGACAAGCCTTGCCTAGGGCTGGCTGCTGGAGTAGAAGAGCTCTCAAAACCCATGAAAGGTAAAGGTATATTAAAGGTTTACCTAGCCCAGGGTCAGGCTGCACAAGCAAGACAACTCAGCCTATTGAAGGTATGTAGGTACCATTATGATGGCTATCTATTATTCAGTTATTTGGTGACTGAAACACTTTTGCATCACTACGTATATAGTACTCTATATGCCCCCAAAAATAACTTAACTTATTTTTTATTTGCAGTGTCAAAATGGTGGATCAGCAGCAATTTTGTCTGCGGTGGAATAACCATGGGTCAACTCTGGTCGCTGTTTTTGATAACCTATTGGCCAGCGAGTCTCTGGTGGACGTCACACTCTTCGCAGAGGGCCAGCTGCTCAAAGCACACAAAGTTGTTTTATCAGCGTGTTCGCCATATTTCCAGGTAATTCATGCGATTTTCTTAACCATAATTATCTTCATTGAACTATTATGACGTTATAATCAAGGCTTATATAATATACTGTATAAGGTGCTTCTTGATTTACAATGGGGTTATGTTCCGATGAACCCATCGTAAGTTGAAAAACTGTAAGTTGAATATGATATGATAAATAAGTAAATAAATAACAATTGTCACTGAATAAATAAAGCAAATGATTACTGTAACCAAATACCAGTATTGAAAAGTAAATAAATGAATACAAGTTTATCTTATCAATAAATGTACATCACTGAATTTGCATTGTTATCATGCCATCGTAAAATCGAAATATCATAAATCGAACCATCGTAAAGCAAGGAGCATCTACATATGCATTTGTCATATTATTATCTTTGTAGTGTTTTTCCAAAAAATATGCTTATCTACCAGTGTCATATTTTACTTCTGTTGTTTTTCTTGTTTTGCAGAAACTGTTTGCTCAAACTACAGATAAGCACCCCATTGTGATATTAAAGGATGTAAAACATAACGAACTCAAGGCTTTGTTGGATTATATGTATCGCGGAGAAGTTAATGTCTCCCAGGACCAACTAGGGCCATTAATAAAGACAGCCGAGTCGCTCAAAATTAAAGGTTTGGCTGACGGGAGCAATAAGCCTGAAACTGAGTCACATACCACACATACCACCAGCCATGACCGGGTCAAGTCTGAAAATTCTCACTCTGATACCAAAAGTGGTCATTCAGGACTAGATGCCTTCCCCATTCCTCCAGTCTCCATTCCTTCTGTGTTGTCTACTGTCCTGACGATGCCACCGGCACTTAGCTTGGCTTCTTCAAATTTGGTTCCTCCTATAAAATTACCTAACTTAGCCACCACAACAGTGATGGATCTTTGTCCACGAGAAGATGGAGGCTCTCCTCATGCAAAACGGAGAAGAAAAATGCGCCAAAAGTCAGGTGAGGCTGGGACAGTGGAGACAGTGATGCCAGGTCATCTAGTTCACCAGGTGATGGTATTCAGTTACCTCGTATACCAGCTACCATTACCCCCATACCACCTCATCCAACCCACCGTGACCAACATCTACAACAGAAAGAACGAGAGCGAGAGCATGAGAGGGAGCGTGAACGAGAGCGGGAGAGAGAGCGTGAACAAGAGCTACAGCAACTACGGGAGCGTGACCGTGAACAGGAACGAGAAAGAGCGAGAGAGCGAGAAGGGGAAATTAGAGAATCGTTACGAGCAAGTAGTCCTTCTCCTGAAAACCTCGTTGGGTCTTCAAGAGCAGACTATCTTACAGACATCCCCCGATCCTCGCCAAGTATAACAAGGTACCACAGTGACCATGATCATGGATCTTCTAGCCCAAGCAAACCAGTATCAATGATTGGTCGTGCTGATGAAAACAGCAGTGATGCCAACCATCAGACAGACGAAGAGTGTGATGACAGGAGTATAGGTGACCGAATATCTCACGAACATCCAGACACCCCTGGACCATCAACGTCGCGACTTCTACCAGAAGATACTCCACATACACCCAGTAAGTTTTAATGATCCATACAAAATAAATTTGAGTAAGATGCAAACCCATGACATTTTGTAGAGGAAACATTAAGAGTATGTTTTGATCCATGCTGAAATTAATTAAATTTGTTTCAAAATAGAACATACAATAGTTGCCTATACAAATACTTACAAATATTAAAAAAAAAAAAAGAGGTAAAGTCTGTTTGAGACATCATTATATTATACATTTTGGGCATGCTAAAACTAGGACTTATTATTAGGATTTAAAACTAAGTAGTCACTGTGACTTACATAGTCCTCAACTGACCAAAACTTAATCTAAAGTTTCCTTTATATATTGCTTATTAATTGTGATTTGTTCTAACCATAATAATTATTGTTACCCATAATTTAATTGTCATATTCTTTTATCTTATTTGCTGAAAAATTCTGTTAAAAGTTGCAGGAAACTGTATACCCATTCATAACTTTTTTTAATCGCATTGTAGGTTACCTTGGATGGCCGTATCCATCAGAGACGTCTGCCAATGAGGAGTCATTTCCTTCCTTAGAAAACACCAATCAAGGTAAAGTGAGAGATAAAATGCTTGTGTAGCCTCTGTGGACTAAAGACAGATATTTTTCACTTGAATGTTATTAGATGCATTTAGATTATTCAGATTCAAATTTAATATAATATCTGTAGTAATAAGTTAGGTTATCTTTATGTTATTCCAAACTACATGATAGTGAATTAAAATTAAACATTTTGAAAGTTTGTATTTTCTAATAATTGTTGTCCACAGAGGTTTCATTGGTTCAAGTAGTGTATTAAATATTGGCACAAATATTTTTTTGTCTTCTTTTATAAACTTATTTGGCATTATTTGCATAGATTTTTTTACTTAGTTAAAGCCTACTGTAAAATATCCATTTCTTATATAATTTTTTTTCTATTCTGAGCTCATTATACAATATTTTATTTATATTTAAGAAAAATTACTTTATACTATACCAAATACACTTTTTGTCTTATTGTGTTATTTTGTGCCAATTTAGTGTAGTTATCCTGTAGCCTTGTAGATGCTAGTTTGTGGTGGAGAGTAGCCACGTCATAACACACTTATTGGGCACTACCATATCCTTATTAGCATAGTACCGTACAGTAGTGGTTGAAATTCTCACTTGATCAATGGGTGATGGTGTTGTACTGCTCTTTCTTAGTTTCCACTGCCAATTGTCCCTTTTTTTTTTTTTGTATGTGATGAGAGAACGCGACATTTTATTAGTAGTTACGACTTCCTTCTATGCACAAAATAGTGCATTTGTCTTAATAGTAGATTTTTGGATCAATATAATTATTTTACAGTACATAAGCATGCCTTTATCATTCTTCCACTTAAATTTTTTTTATTCTTCAGTATAATAATTAAGCAGGAATATGCCAGTTACCCACTGCCAGAGATTATTTGTTCAAATTTTGTGAAGGCCCAATAGGTGTGTTTATTTCCTTGAATCCCCAGTGAGGCCCCATTCTTATATTTTACTTGTCAGTAGTGGTTGAGAAATCTTTGTTGGTGAATTTATTGAGGTTGTTCACTTACGGTTGGTTGTGGTATGTGGAATTACTGCATATTACTTCATTTTCTATTAGGTGTTTGTGTTCATTGCTGTTTGCATTGGTTTAAGTCATTGGTGGTCAGTTGCTGAGACAAAATTGGGAGAGGATCATTGCAAAGTGGTCTGGCACTATTAGGTCAAGATACCTATTATTGCCCAATTCCCTCATGGTATGGCTCTAGTAATTTGCGATTTGCAGAATTACTAGTGATATGTGACTGTGAATACAACTATTATTGATTTGTAGTTTTTGATAGGAAATAGATTTTCTTTAGTGAGAATAACAAAATTCTAAAAACCACAAAAATATCTCGAAAACAAATTACAAAGAAGAGAAAAATGTATTAATTATATAAACTCTGAAATGACACTGCCAAGACAAGTTTGTGTACACTACAGGACACTACTGCTCACACACCACCCATCTTGTGTCAACAAGTATCTTACCATCAGAACCTTTGTCATGAGGGGAAGTAGGAGCTGATGTCTTCTCTTCCTCGTTGCAGGGATATGGAAAAACAAATTTCTGGCTCCCTACCTAGGCTCCCCTCTGCCCCCCATACCCCCAAGGTCCCACCCAGGCTTGGGTCCACCTTTTCCTGGGCTGTATGGGCCCCCATCGTCCTCCCCGTGGGGACGCCACTCCCCGCCCACACCAACCCTATCTGCGCCTCATCTGATGTGCGCCCATGAGTGTTCTCGCTGCGGGCGCCTCTACAAGACACGCAAGGGTCTCAAGCACCACATCAAGAATGAGTGTGGAGTGGAACCTCGGTTTCAGTGCACCCATTGTGACTGGAAGTTCAAGCAGAAGGCTCACCTTTTAAGGCACGTGGCTCGTAAGCACACTGCAAGCTGAGTACGCCTGCATGCAATTGTGAGGCCCACAATAGTGGCAGGTAATGTCATTATCCATATTGTTCGGTGCTGGGCGGTGGATGGCAGCAAACAGGGCTGGTCTGAGACTGGACCATGGGGTGATGATCCCTGCAAACATTAACAGATACTGTATAAGAGGGCATGGGAGGATGAGCAGATGAGCACATCTGATACAAGTGCTTTTATCATCAAAAATATTTGATAATGCAGGGGGATGGCCAAGCCAACCACAAAGGGGCTCCACCCTGTAGTCCCACAAAGCATCTGTACAGATCAGAAGTCTTCATGCAGAAAACTCTGTACAAGTTACTTATTTTGATAGTAATGATGGTGTTTGGCAGAATTACATGGGTGTTCCTCCAGTGTGCAGCAGCAATGAGGTGATGGAGTAAGAGCAACATATCAATAAAGTTTTTGACATTGCTCAAAGGAGCTCTTTTTTTTTTTTTTTTTTCCAAAAAAAACTTGCAGTGAGGTGCTGGACTGAATACTTTCACAGGTATAACACTGAGCAAAACCACCAGCTCTTATAAGAGAACTTACATATTCTCAGCTCATGGTGCATACATTCTTGTACTCACAATATAAGCAGCTCAGTCTGCATCATTCTTTGCACTGGTTGAAAGATTGTATAATTATACAAAGAGATGTGTTAATGCATCATATACTGTATAATTAAATTCAGTGGAATTCTAGTGAATTTTTAAACATGGTTCTCCAGCTGTGGACAGAATTTTGTGCAATTTTAGTGTCAGTTTAAATGTGTGAGGAGCAGCTATGCTCTTGTGATAGTCAGGGTGCCTTGTAAAGGCTTTTATTCTCACATTTGTGAAATTTCTTCTAAAGGCCTTAAAAGTTTATGAATTATTTATATATTTTTCCACAAGGTAAAAGAACCTCTAATTATTCTTATTATGTTAGATAAATTGTTGTATGGTAGAAAGACAGTGAGAGCTAACCTTTGTTATAGAGGATATATTCTTGCTCTGTATAAAGATTTATAAAGTAACTTGATTAATCTCTACACAGAGCATTGTCGTATATAAACAAGATTTCCTCCACACCGAGTCTTTTTACCTCATGTTGGCAATACCTGCCATCCAACAGAGATATATTGTTAATAGTGTAATACTGAATACTAAATAGCTAAGCAATTTATGGTAAGCCTTCAGTTTAACGGACTAATGAAGGAGGGGAAGCAGGTAGCTGGTAATGGTGATTGTGGTGGGTAGAAGTGAGATTTAGATTTTAACAATAATGGCCGTTTGAAACAGTGGATTTTGTCCATTGTTTCGGAATTAACAGATCCAATGGATTTTGTCCCATATTTCCTAAGTCCATTAAATCAAGGTCTGTTAAATTGGGATTATTTAAATCAAGGTCTGTTAAATCAGGATCATTTAAAGTAAGGTCTGTTAAATCAGGATCATTTAAATCAAGGTTGTTAAATCAGGATCATTTCAATCAAGGTCTGTTAAATCAGGATCATTTCAATCAAGGTCTGTTAAATCAGGATCATTTCAATCAAGGTCTGTTAAATCAGGATCATTTAAATCAAGATTGTTAAATTTGGGTCATTTAGATCAAAACCTAATAAGTAGTCCTTTAAATTGAAGGTTTACTGTATTTAATAATGAAGGTGCCTGGGACCAGTGATAATAAACTACAGGATAGTTTAGTCAGAATGAATTATAATACTGAGAAGATACAGTATAGTAGGTGCTCGGAGTCAATCCGCAGGTGCTGTGTCACACTGAATACAGTCAGTCGCTTCTCTTAAAAAGTCTTCTACAGTGCAATTTTATGCAAATTAATTGAAAAGTGCATCCAGAATTCAATAGCATGTACTGCAAAAGCATTTTGATATGCTATTAAATTTTTTATACACTTTTTCAATTGCATTTACAAAGTCACATTATATAGAGGAGCTTAATAAGAGTCCTGACTATAGCTGCTTTGTACAGAAAGAACTTTTATAAATGTATGTTTATGTAAATAGTTGAAATCGTTTATGCCTTTAAGCTAAGGTATAGTCTCAGACTTATTAACATTGGGTAAATTTTGAGTGTACAATTAAAAAAAAAAGGACCGGGGACTTTATTCTGGGGCACATAGTGCTTCAGCACCCCCAAGGCAGCTCCTGGCAGCCTGGTTACTGTCTCCCTGGTGGTAGTGGCAAGTGGTTCCCCTCAGGGGAGCCCATGATGCTGGTGATAACCATTTGATCAAAAGAATTGGAGCCATTCTCTTGGATCAGACTTGATTACCTCCCATATCCCATGCACTTTATGACCCGTGGGTAATAAAATACTGACAAGACTCGTGCAGTATTAGGATATTTTAATGAAGAAACACTGTGTCATGAATGATTTCTTTAGTCCCTATGGCAGAACATTTTCTCATTAAAAATTCTTAATACTGCATGAGTCTTATTTTACATGTTGGTGTTTTATACCACATAAATAAAATAAGGCTCGTGCAGTATTAGGATATTTTAATGAGGAAATGTTTTGCCACAAGGACTAAAGAAACCATTCCTGGCGAAACGTTTCCTTACTCAATATCCTAACACTGTGCATGTCTTGTTTCACATGTATGATCTGAACCCCATGAATACAATATTATAGTCGAGTGGCAATTGGATCACTTGACTGTGGTTAGTTTGCAGGTTTGTCTTCCAGAGAAATAAAACTGTTAATATATGTATTTTGTTATCTGGTGTATCGGGTACACAATGCAGGCTTGTGCAGATCTACTTATGTAATTGTGGGTGCCCATTTGCCACTAACTCACAGGTTACAGCGCTCAGTACAAATGAATGCTCAGTGCAATAGTTGATGGTAGTGTGCAACTCTTAACATGTAGATAAGTCCTGAGTGTGAACGCAACAAATTGACTCGATATACAATTATCCGGCACAAGTTGTTTATATGGGAGCAAGAAAGGGGTGATGCAAATGCATTTAAATTAAAATACAGCATAGTACTGTAAAATTCATAGCTTTTCTGGTGTAATGAAATGTAACAAAAACTTATCAGTAGAAGGAAAAATCCCACAGGAGACAAAAATAAGGAAGAATGGTAATCTG